GATCTTTCACCTATTTGGCTAAGTATACTCCTAGTTATTTTACTTTCTTCGTAGCATTTGGGAATGATAGTGAATCTTTGACTTGACTCTCAGCTTGACTGTTAGTGGTATATATGAATGCTACTGATTCGTGCATATTGACTTCATAACCAACTTTGGTGTAGATCACTGGGTGGCTCCATCATGGATCACTGGGTGCTGCATCCATCCTGCAGACTAGAGCCCATGAGATACTGGCAATACCCTATTTGTTCTTCTTTCCTTTGGAGATGTGGGGTTTGTGGGCTGCTTCCAGTCTGCCAATTTTTTTCCTCCTGATGTCTCCTTCTGATGGTGTTTTCATGATAAATGCTTGCAATGGCCCGAGCTAACGTTCTTTTCTTTTTTCAATTTTTTTTTTTAGTGGGGTCAACAAGGCAACAGAAGGTCTTGCTGTGTTGCCCAGGCTAATCTTGACCTCCTGGCCTCAAGCATTCCTCCCCATCTTGGCCTCCCAAAGTTCTAGTCTTACAGCCATGAGCCACTGTACCCAGCCATTATTTGCATTATTTTCTTGGTGGTTTCTTCTTATTGGTTATTTGGATATCCTTTTTATAAAGAGTTTATTTTAGTCTCTTAACCACTGGGTTATCTGCCTAATTTTTATTGATTTGTAGGACTTCCTTTTATATTTTAGCTAGAAGATGCTTGAAACATATATATGTATTGCAAATGTCTTCTTCCACTCAGTAGCTTGCCTTTTTTTTCTTTCATTTTTATTTTGTGATTAAAATAACTTCTTGATTGTGCTGTAGTATACCCTAAGCCTCTACTTTTCGCATATGAAAAGTAGAGTTGATAGTAGTATCTCACTCATAGAATTGTTATGAGGAATACTTATTTAATTTTAATTTTTAAAATTTTTTTTTGTTGGGGATTCATTGAGAGTATAAAGAACCAGGTTAAACTGATTGCATTGTTAAGTAAAGTCTCTCTTATAATTGTGTCCTGCCCCCAAAATGTGTGTCACACACTGTGACCCCCCTTACCTCCTCCCTTCTTCCCTCTTTTTGTTCTCCTCTTTGCCTAGCCCTCACCATGTACTAGATCATTAATTGCCCTCATATCAGAATCGAGCATAGAGGATTCTTGCTTCTCCATTCTTGTGATGTTTACTAAGAATAATATGTTTCACTTCCATCCAGGTTAATACAAAAGATGTAAAGACTCCATCTTTTTTCTGTTTTATTAAGTCAAATACACATAGATCATGAATATATTCATGCATATGTGGGGTACAATGTGCCTATTTTGATTTTTTTAATACAATCTGATGTGGTTACATTGAACTAATCAACATAGCTTTCACCTCATTTCCTTGATTATTGTGCCAAAACATCTGTGTTCTACACTTCACAGATTTGACTTGTAACCTTGTTATATGCTCCATATGTGTGGTCCTGCCTTTTACACTTCCTCTGCCAAACCTTCCCCCTCCCCTCCCTTCCCACTCCACTTCTCTCCTTCATTCTGGGTTATAGTTGTGTTCTATCATTCATAAGAAAGTGTGAGTAAATATAAGTAGGTTTCATAGAAGTAATGAGTACATTGGATACTTTTTCCTCCACTCTTGACATATTACTCAGGAGAATATGTTTGAGATCCCTCCATGTAAACATAAAAGAGTTAAAGGCTTCATCTTTTTTAAGGCTGCATAGTATTCCATGGTATACATATACCACTGTTTATTAATCCATTCATGGGTTGTTGGGCACTTGGGCTTCTTCCATGACTTGGCTATTATGAATTGAGCTGCAGTGAATAATCCAGTGCAAATATCTTTTTTGCAAAGTGATTCTTGATCTTTTGGATATACTCCTAATAGAGGAATTTCAGGATCCAACAGCAGGTCAATTTTTAGATCCCTGAGTGTTTTCCAAACTCCTTTCCAAAAGGGACGTACTAGCTTGCATTACCACCAGCAGTGCAGAAGTGTTCCCTTTTCTCCACATCCACGCCAACATCTGTAGTTTTGGGATTTTGTTATGTGGGCTATTCTTTTTTATTTGGCCGGGGCTGGGTTTGAACCCACGACCTCTAGCATATGGGGCTGGCTCCCTACTCCTTTGAGCTACAGGCACCACCCTCTATGTGGGCTATTCTTACTGGAGTTAGATGGTATCTCAAAGTGGTTTTGATTTGCATTTCTCTGATGATTAAAGAAGATGAGCATTTTTTCATGCGTCTGTATACCATGTGCCTTTCTTCTTCAGAGAAGTTTCTGTTTAGGTCTCTTGCCCATAGTGAAATGGGATCACTCATTTTAAGTTTAAGTTCTCTGTGGATTCTGGTTATCAGACCTTAGTCAGAAACATAACCTGAAAATATCCTCTCCCATTCTGAGGGCAGTCTGCTTGCTTTACTTACTATGTTCTTGGCAGTGCAGAAGCTTTTAAATTTAATCAGATCCCAGTTATGTATTTTTGGTATTGCTTCACTTGCCCTGGGGGGTCTTCCTCATAAACTTTTATCCCAAACCAATTTCTTCAAGTGTTTCAACTACACTCTTTCCAAGAATCTTTATGGTTTCATGTCTTAGGTTTAAGTCTTTTATCCAGTGAGAGTCAATTTTTGTCAGAGGTGAAAGATGTGGGTCCAGTTTCAATCTTCTATAAGTTGCCAGCCAATTCTCCCAGCACCATTTGTTAAATAGGGAATCTTTCCCCCAATATAAGTTTTTGATAGGCTTATCAAAGATCAAATGACTATAAGTACCTGGGTTCATCTCTTGGTTCTCAATTCTATTCCATACATCTACCTCTCTATTTTTGTGCCAATGCCATGCTGTTTTGATCACTATAGATTTATAGTATAATCTGAAGTCTGGTAGTGTGATTACACCTGATTCGTTTTTATTTCTGAGTAATGTCTTGGCTATTTGAGGTTTTTTTTGTTTCCATAAAAAATGAAGTACTAGTTTTTCCAGATCTTTAAAGTATGACAAAGGTGATTTAATAGGAATTGCATTAAATCTGTAAATTCCTTTGGGTAGAACAGACATTTTAACAATGTTGATTCTTCCCAGCCATGAGCATGGTATGTTTTTCCATTTGTTGACATCTTTGGCTATTTCTTTTCTCAAAGTTTCATAGTTCTCTTTATAGAGATCTTTCATGTCCTTTGTTAGGTACACTCCCAGATATTTCATTTTCTTTAGCACTACTGTAAAGAGAATAGAGTCCATGACTGTCTTTTCATCTTGACTATTGTTGGTATATATGAATGCTACTGATTTGTGAGTATTGATTTTGTAGCCCGAGACGCTGCTGTATTCCTTGATCACTTATAAGAGTTTTGTGGTTGAGTCCCTGGGGTTTTCCAGGTATATGATCATACCATCTGCTAAAAGTGAAAGTTTGATCTCCTCTGACTCTATATGGATAATCTTGATTGCCATCTCTTGCCTAATTGCAATGGCTAATACTTTCATTGCAATGTTAAAAAGCAGTGGAGACAGTGGGCATCCTTGCCTGGTACCTGATCTGAGTGGAAATGAATTCAATTTTACTCCATTCAATAGACTCCATCTTTTTTAATGGCTGAATAGTATTCCATGGTATACATATACCACAGCTTATTTATCCATTCCTGGATTGGTGAGCATTTAGGCTGTTTCCATGTTTTGGCGATTGTAAATTGAGCTGTGATAAACAGTCTACTGCAAGTCTCCTCTGGTAAATGGACTTTTTTTCCTTCTGGGTAGATGCCCAGTAATGGGACTGCAGAATCAAATGAGAGGTTTAATTTGAGTTCTTTGAGGGTTCTTCATACTTCCTTCCAAAAAGTTTGCATTAGCTTGTAGTCCTGCCACTAGTGTAAAAGTGTACCTTTCTCTCCACATCCATACCAGCATCTGCAGTTTTGAGATTTTGTGATGTGGGCCATTCTCACTGGGGTTAGATGATATCTCAGGGTAGTTTTGATTTGCATCTCTCTAATAATTCCAGTGGCTCAGTCTTAGTCTCTGGTCAGTGCTCAAAGTCACTTGTACTCTTGGCCAAGGTCTCCCAAGGTAATTCTACCAAGTGCCCAAGTCCGACAAAAAAAACAACCTGCAGAGAAGGCCTTCTCTGTCTACAATCTCACTGCTGTAGCTATAGCTGCAGCAGCCTCACACCGTCAGACCAAACACAACCACTTGCCAGTTCTCCCCTGCTTTTGTCTTCCTCCTGGGGTCCAGAAGTCTCTAGTTGCCTCCCTGCATCCACAAAGGGATGTTTATGGGCAGTCCCCACAAGCCAGAGGTGCCTAGAGTCTTTTCTCCCCCATCTCACTGAGCCCAGTTGCAAAGAAGCTATTACTCAGCCACCATCTTGCTCTTCACCCCCTCTCCCCCAGCAGGAATACTTTTTTTTTTTTTTAATGCGTGTACTCCTAGCACAGTGCCTAGTACATAGGAAAGCTCAATAAATGTTATCCAGTGCCACTCTTCTGTGCCCCACCTAGCCTTTTACTTCCTTCTAATTCCTCTGTTTCTGAGTCTCAGTCATGTTGCATAGCAGAAAATGTAGACCATATGGCCTAACCAATTCCTAACCTCTTTGAGTATGTGATCTGTCATCTATAAAATGTCATCCTTATCTGTAAAATCATGTGTTTGTCACTGAAATAAGCCACTGTAAGATAGTGATGACTCATTCTCATGTGTCAATGTCATGATGTCAAGGATTTCCTTCAAATTCTCCCTGGAGAAGAGATTTAAGAAAGAAGTAGTTTCTTTTATTTTTTTCCTTTGTCACCCTCTGTGGCGTCATAGCTCACAGCAACCTCCAATTCTTGGGCTCAAGTGATTCACTTGCCTCAGTCCCCCAAGCAGCTAGGACTACAGGCACCTGCCACAACGCCTGGCTGTTTTTAGAAACGGTGGTTTCGCACTTCCTCAGGCTGCTCTCAAACCTGTGAGCTAAGGGCAATCCACTTGCCTCAGCCTTCCATAGTGCTAGGATTACAGGCGTGAGCTACTGCACCCGGCCCAAGTGGGTTTTTTTAAGTGATTGACAAGAGAGCCATATGGCTGCTTCCTCAACATTCCTTGTTCTCATCTCTCTCCTCTGCCAGCTCACAGGTGAGTTCTGCCAGAATCTCTTTCTTTCTCCTCCCTGCCTTCCCCTGAAGTGTACCTCCAGGTTCCTAGTTCTACTCTGGACTAAAGGCTAATCTAAGGAGACTCTGTTTTCTCATCTAACATTCTAACCTCTGATCTCTGAATAATGGAGGGCAGGAAAAGACTGGAGGGAAAGGAAAAGGAATGGCTCTGGGAACTAACTCCCCTTCTGGACTGTCCAGGGAAGAAAGGACTGAAAGAAATGGTGCTGGGTATCCTAAGACCTGGTTTCTAATCTAGATTCTGCCATAAGTTAGATGAGGACTGTCAAAGCTTTTCTGAGCCTCAGAGACTTTATGTACAAGTGTGTATTTTTTAAAAAACGTATTTTTAATTTAAACATATTTATAAATATATTTAACAACTATGAATAACAATGATATAAATAGAAGGAATCACTTGAATTTCTCTCTCTCTCTTTTTTTTTTTTTTTTTTTTTTTTTTGAGAGAGTGTAAAGTGCCAGGGTGAGATCATACCTCACAGAAACCTAAAACTCTTGGGCTCAAGACATCTTTTTCCCTCAGCTTCATGAGTAGTTAGGACTGTAGGTGTGTCCCACAATGCCCAGCTAGTTTTTATATTTTTAGTAGAGATGAGGTCTCGCTTTTGTTCAGACTAGCCTCAAACTCCTGAGCTGAAGCAATCCACCCACCTTGGCCTCCCAGAGTGCTGGGTTTACAGGAATGAGCCACCACACCTGACCTTGAATTTTCTCTCTTAACCCAAGCAATCCAAAAAGTTTCCACTTAGGAAACCAATTTATACCATAGGTACTTTAAGTTTAATTCCATGGAGGACCAAAGACTATTTTGTACCTTTCATGGGTATTCTAATCTTTAAGGATTTTATTATCCTAAGAGTTCTTTCAGAAAGGATCAGGGGCCCCATAAATGAGAAATATCTCTCCTGTCATTAAATGCAGGTGGCCCTCTGAGGACTTGACATAACTAGCTCATTGTGTGTGCCCTTAACACATTGTTGAATGGTCATGAGTTACCCAATAATATGGATAGTTTTTGTGTAAAATTGCTGGTCAACAATGTGTTAAGTGACCTTCCTGAGGCCAATACAGACAGTAAATGCCTCCAATCCTCTACTCCTCATCACCTGGCCTCTCTCTGTGGTCAGCATCAGTAGACTTTTACCACCAGAAGTTTGCATAAGCATCTGTTTTTAAGCAGGTAGTTCTAGAATAGAGTTTCCCTTTAAAAACAAAACTAAACACTCTCTAAATGAAAATGGTGATCAGAAATAGAACTTGAAGAAGGTGAGGTGGTAGAGCTTTTGAAGGTCCCAGGGTCTCTTGTAAAACCTGAGCCAAAGGCAACAGAGTGCATGTGTGATGTCTGAATATCTGCCATGGGGTGGTCCTTTGCCTGGTTCCTAGAAGCTGTGGGCTCTCTGTGTACCACCCATGGCCAAAAGGATTCAGAGATTGTCCTAGAACCTCTAGTGTCATGAACCAGCATGGTGAAGGGGAGTGAATCAGAGTGGAACTGGTGGGGAATGAGGAAAATACAGAACAAGAGAAGTCCTAGAAATGAAAGATGGGATCGGGAAGTCTGACTGCACTGATGGCTACAGCCAACACCAAAGCATAGAATTAGCTTTATTTTATAGTATCTGTACATGGTTGTCCAGGGGGGCAGTAGCATAGACAATATGGGGAAATAGCATTAAAAAAAGACATAATTTTGCTCTTACAGTAAGACAGAAAGATGCATATGATTTGAATAAGGACATATCATCTTGTTAATGGTTGCTACTCAGCTTTGTTAACATATGACAAGAAGTAAGAAGGGAGAGGTTGCAAGGATCTCTGCATAGTTAACAAAACAAAGGAAGAACTATGTGACTTAGTGTTTTCTATTCACCTTCGTTAGCATATGACAAGAAGTAAGAAGACAAAGATCACAAGGATTTCTGCCTAGTTAACTAGACAAAGAAAGAGATATGTGACTTTTGGCAGAGGGGGCATGAAGAAAGGAATACAGGTTGTTTGAACAGAGGAGAAATAGGTGGGGGTTCATTCTCTGAATGTTCCCCAGGCTGTGGGGGCCTTGCTGCCTCACGGCCCGCTCTCCATACTCCACTGGACAAGGTAGTGGATGGAGTTCTGGCTGTGGGCAAGAATATCCTGCATTTAAATTAATAGCTATATTATTGTGAGAAAGTTACTCATCTCCTAGGCCTTGTTCTTCTTAAGTGAATAGCAGAGAGTGAAATCTAACTTATAGAACTATTGTAATGTTTTACATGCCATACCAAATGCAAAATAATTACAGTAATAACCATTCACTAAGCTCCTACTATATCCAAGGTGTTTTTCATACATTCTATAAGACAGATATTATTATCCTTACTTTACAGATGAAGAAACCTAGGCTCAGAGAGGTCAAGTTTCTTGGTTAAAAGGTAGATCAGAGATTGAGTTTCCAGAGATGTACTCAATAAACACATATTTGATCTGAATTTTCCACTGGAAAAGCCAGTTGGGATCTCTCCCCTATGCAGGTACACGAGTGCAAGGTAGGAACTGGAAAGGCCCAAGAAGAACCGGTAGCTGTTTCTGGGATGTAAATGCACAAAGTTCAGAGGAGATAAGGAGCAGCTTTGGTGGTCTTAGTATTTCTATCTGGAAAATAGGCACAGCAGACTGTCCCCTTCACATATTTTATGATAATTAAAGGAGGAGACAATTAATAAAAAGAAAACAGAATGGCAGGGTGGTGGGGGGCTTGAACATGGACATGGTGAGTAGGGGTAGAGTACTAGGAAAGGTGTGTGGTGAAGTGGGAGGTTTGGAGACTCTACCCATATGTGTGTCTAACACAGTGTTGATTCACAGTGTGCTTTTCCCAGTGCACATTGGTTAAGGAGAAATTGGGTAAAGAGTAGTAAATTCCAACCCATTTCGTTTATTTAAGTTGTGGTTTCCTTTCATAAAATGAAACCTGCCACAGAAACAAATAAATAATAATGCAAATGAAGGTGAGTCCCACAGGCTCTCCTCCTCTCTATATGCTACCCTAGGCCTACCCCTCAATTTCCCCCAAAACTCACAGAAGCACCTCCACAGACTCCCAGGGGACTGGAGATAGTTTGGGAAATCTGCCTTAAGAGGCTGGCTTACTGATTCCAACCTCTCACAGACTTGGAAACATCTCTGTAATCCCCTGAGTGTCAGCCTCCTCATCTGGGAAATGGTATTGAACTAATTAATCCCTAAGATTTCTCCCACCTCTGTAGTGCTCTGTTCTGTGATTCCTGTGAGGATGGTGCCACAACACACTGGCATATTCAGACAGAGGCACCAAGTGCTCATAGAGGTGCTTGAGGACAGGACTGGCAGGCAGGACGTGGCCTTTACCCTCTCACCTGCCCTCACATCTCCCTGCTAGGTCAGTACCCCTTGTTTCAGGCTGTACTCCTCACTTGGCTCCCTCCTTCTACTCGACTCTTGAGGCTTTAGGTGACAGGAAGAGAAAAGGAGGTGACAACCAAGAGGAAAGGGAGGTGGCAAGGGGGAGAAGCTGTTGTCCCCTCCTGTTATGGAGAGCATCTCAGAGCTGACTGTCCTGATGCCAGAAATATCTGAGTCTTGACCAGGGGCAGAAGGCAAAGTGTCTCCCTTCACCTCCCTTCACTTCCGAAGGCAAGTTGACTGGGGAATATTCACAATTATCTTAACACATTGCTGACCAGTCATGAGTTAGCTGGTAACACGGATAGTTCCTGTGTAAATTGCCTGTTAACAGTGTTTTAACGCAGTAGCTGTTCCCCAATTCCTTTCTCTCAGTCTCAATTCCCAGTGGTCCCAAATTCAGCCTATTTTATTCTTTCTCCCCTCTCATCTCTTAGCTGTTTATAATATAGGATCATTAGTGCCTCTGACATCTTAACACATGGTTGACCAGCAATTTTATGCAAAAACTATGTTACTGGGTAACTGGTGACTGGTTAGCAATGTGTGTGTGAATCTTTTGGCTCACTTTGCTGATAAGTCATCTGAGGGTGTTTTTGGAACTCTCCATTTCTCATTTTACTCATCTGGACAAAAATGAAATCAAAAAGTGGGAAGTTTCCTCAAGGCCTGATCCTTATGATGTGCTTGCCACCCTTGCCTCCCACCTCCCTTCATGGTGTTAGGCTGCTCTATACTTCCCCTGGGTAGTTGTTAGACATTTGGGGAGATTTTAAAGTGAAAAATGAAGTGATGTTAGTGGTAAATTTTCAAGATATGGGTGTGAGGAAGGGTAGGAGACTTCCTCAGGGCAGGGCTTTGAACTAGGCTTTACAGGTCTTGAATGAGATTTAGATGGAAAGAGAGAAGGATGAAGTACAAACAATGGCATGTGGTAGTGAGGAACCAAGGGTGGGAGCAGGGGGAGGCTGGGCTGCTTGTCTGACCACAGTAAGTGGGCAGCAGTCCTCTATGTCACATCTTTTCATGGTGTTAAATCATCACCCTGTCTGGCCTTAAAGCAAAAGTCCTGGGCTTCTCTAAGATGTGATCAAGCCAGGTCATGAGAACTAATTACTGGGCCTCAGGAGGCTACCACTGGAGCTGGGTGCTAGTCATTCTTACCCAAACCATTTGGCTGCTCTGTACACGATGAAGAGGTGAAATGGATGCAGAGGAAGCAGGTCACAGCACTCACTGCACTGATTTAGGGGGCAGGTGGATACTGGAGGAAGATAGATAAAACTTATGGGTCTCTCTACCCTCCAGTGCTCAGTAGGGAGATCTTGGTTGCCACTCATTCTCTAGAGAATCTTCTGATCCCACAGATCCTGTTAAGCTCCCCTACCCCATTGTAGGTCCCCATAGTGCCTGATACTGCCCCTTTCATAACACACGTGGGAGCATGTTAAATGATTTGTCTCCCAACTACATGAGTGTGAGAATCATGACAATCTTGCCTCCTAGTGGTATCCTTGGCTCCTAAATAACTAAATAAATTCTTGTTGAAGGAAGGAATGACTAAATGAGACAAGTATGACCTACTTAGGTATGGCAAAACTCTATAGGATCACACACTGCAGGTAAAAAACCATCACTGAAAGGGGATATGCAATTCAGCTTTGGGAAGCTGAAAAAGAGAAGCATCTTGTTTCTGGATCCTTTTTTCCTGGCCACTGGGGAAGAAGAAACAAAACTGGTCAGGACACTCCAGCCCTGCCCACTATCCTCTAAACTCACATTTAGGGAATGGCATGGTGCTGCTTTCTTCTTACCCTGAAGATACACTTGAGATAGAACAATCTACTCCATCTAGGCCCTCTGTCATCCTCCAATTTCATTCTAACAAGAAACAAGGCTTTTCATAGACTGCCACACAATTCATGCCTCTTGACATTTACCCTGAGAAAGTGGCAACAAACATGTGGAAGGATGAAAAGAGTAATTGATCACAGTTTGAATATACATATGCTGATGAGCTAAAGCCCTCACCTTGAAAATCTCTTCAAAAGCTAATAGGAAAACAAAATTACTTGAAGATTGCCCTACATTTAGGGATTGTACCCACTTGGGGACAAGTAATACCCAATCTTTATTTGACTTCAAAATATCCATCCTTTCCATCTCTGTTGTTGAAGTAAAAGAATGAATGCACTGATTACCCAATCAAAAATTTAAAACTTTTCATCCTTTAAGGTACAAAGAAAAAAACTAACCAAAATTGATTTTGACTGTACCATCTGTTGGGACCATTTTGATGCCCTTTGGGATAGTTAAAGAGAGAGCAGTTAAAAACCATCCTGACCTTAATATTAGGGAAAAATCAGATTACTTAATAGGAAGATTTGATAAAGGCTTGAACCAACCAAAGTATATATGCACTGACCAATACGTTACAGGGGGAAAATGATTGAAAATAGAAATAAGCTTCTAAAAGATATTTACCCAGGAATAGAAATCAGTACTTTTGGTTAGTAAAAAGTTGGTGGAGACCTCAGGAAGGAAGGAGGTCAAAATTTGGTAGCTTCAGGTTTTCTCACCCTGAGTACTGATAAAATAGCTTATGCCTGAGAGAAGTCCACCAAAAGACATAAAGGGAAATTAAAGCTCAATAGGGCTCATGGGCTTCAGAGTTGACACCTGAGCCCATTAGGGTCTTGGGGATTTAATTTAAAGATTAATTTCAGTTTTTCCATTTCTATCAGCCTAGAGTAAGTTCTTTCTACCTCTGCTACTTAGTTTTTTCATCTGTAAAATGTGCCCTTTAAGGTTTTGACACTGTGGGTACTGATGTGGGCTCTGCTACTCACTCACCCTGGTTTGATTAGTCAGTTAGCCCCACTGTGCTTGATCTGTAAGATGGGTTCTGTAAGATGGAGACATCAAAATTCTTTTTGTAAGGGTTGTTTCAAGAGTTAAACAAGTTCACAGTACATGTTTTTAAACTGTGAGTTCCAATCTGAATTCTCTCACTGCTCTGTGCATCTGTGCCTCTGATTTTAATGGGTAACCAATGACTCATTCCCTAACTGAAAGAGCCAGGTGAATACTTCTGGATGTTTCTTCAGCTGCTATTCTTAACAGTTTTTCACCTGAAGCTACATAACCAGCAGTGATTGTTTATAAGACATACTCTCTGGGGTGAGCTAAGATTGTGGTGAAACCAAAATTTCTTGTGGAAGTAAAACCCTACTACAATTCCTAGTGGTTTGTGCTGAGCATCACAAGTGAGCCTGGTCATACTGCAGAGCTCCCTGACGTTCAACTCTTCCCTTCCCACTCAAGGAAGCATATTAGAATATAAGTGAATGAGAATCTCATTTGGGGAAGACCTTGAATCCACTCTAATTTATCGTAAAAGAGAAAGACAAATCATGCTGAAATGTCTAAGCTATCACTATTATTAGGAACATAGCTTATCTCCCAATGTCCTGATCGGTGCTTAAGAACTAACCTGAACCATGATTAAGAACCCCTGCCCCAGGTCAAGCAAGCAAGCCCCTTTATCAACTTCAGACTGGGCTTGGACACTAACTTTTCTGCTTGTCCCTCGCAGGAGCCTGCTAAGGATGGAGTTGGACTTGAGGACCTCAGAGCTTGGTGTTTTTAGTCAGAAGTCTTTGGGAAAGGGGAGGGAGGTGAAGGTCACCTGTAGTCACCCTGATCAGGCAGAAAGTTCTGCTCTCAGTGCTGTCATGTGAGAGAGGTTCTGGAGGGTATCCCAGGGGCCGACTGTGTTGAACTGAGTGGGTTTCTGCGGAATCTTCCCAGGACCCAAACCAGGTGAGTAACTGGTGGCAAGGGCAAGGACTTGGGCTTATTTTATGATTTGTTGTGTCTACAGGGCCAGCAGCCTCTGGAGCCCTGAAGGAGCTAGTTGGTGCCATTGGTGGGTCTGTGACTTTTCCCCTAAACATCAAAGAAAAGCAGGTGGACAGTATTATCTGGAGCATCAACACAACGGTTCTTGTCATCATACAGCCAGTGGAAAACGAACAACTCAATGTCATAGTGACCCAAAATAGTAATAAGGAAAGGATGGAGTTCCCACGTGGGGGTGAACTGAAGCTCAGCAAACTGAAGAAGAGTGACTCGGGTGTCTACAGTGCACAGATACACAGCTCCTCCTCCCCTACTATCACCCAGGAGTATGTGCTACGTGTCTATGGTGAGCAAATCAATTCCAGTGGTGGATGTCTGCCTTGGTGAAGTGGTGAGCTCCTTGACACAGGAGATGCTCCATCAGGGGCTGGATAAACACTTGGCACAAATGTGGGAGAGGGGAGCTACTGAGTGGATGAAGTAGATGTGCTTGACTCCTGTGTACTCAGAGATACTGTAAGCAGCAGTATGGTAGGGAGGATGGGCCTTATGGAAAGTGGGAATCATAGATCTAAGGTCAAATACTGGCTTCTCTACTTACTAGCTGCATAACTTTGGCCAAGTTATTTAATTTCTTCCAAGACTTCTTAGTTTAGTTTCCATATCTGTAATGGAAAGGAAAGTTATGCCTACCTTAGGAAAATCACAGGGTATAAGGATCAATCATACTCCTTCTCCTACAGATTCCAACCAATTGATAAGTAGAAACCAGATTCAGTAAGAAGAAAACAGTATCAGCTTTATTTCTGGTAAAGATAGATAAAAGAAATACCTCCCCCCAAGCTGGAACTTGGAGCCCATTCAGGGAAGTTGAAATTACAAAAAATTGCTCAACCAGCTACAAGAAGAACAGCTGCCTTCCTCACTGAGCTGCAACATTAGGGACAGGAGATGGACCTTCAGACTTGCTTGTAGGAGGTAGGCCAGGCACTTGATCCAGGTGTGTCTTTCACATACAGGTGGTTGTACAATTGTATATCGACAGAACACATGTATTCTTTAGGTGAATTAGCTGAGGGAGAAAAGAAAAGGGCAAACTACATGTGAACAGCTGTCATTAACAGCTCAAACCCATCTGCACAGAAGAAGGTAGGGAGTAGATATCAGATTCTCATCACCCCACCAATGATCTAATTGCTCATCCTCTGAGGGAGGGGGAATGAGTACAAGAGAGAGAGGGAGGACAAAAGTGATGTTTTAATATTACTCTCTCCAGGAGAGGAAAAGTGAAAGTCTCTTCAAGAAAGGCTGAGGATAGGGAATAAGGAGCCTCTAAAAGAGATAAAATTACCTGGCCTTTAAAATGTAGTTAGCACAGTGCTTGCTGTGTAGCTATGCTTGGTAAATGACAGCTATGCTTTTGTTGCATTATTATTCCTATTATTATTGTTTTTGTTGTTTCTGTTGTTGTTGTTGTTGTTGTTGTTGTTGTTATATAGCTGTGGGCAAACAGACCTAGATAATCCTCTCTCCCAGAAAGAGAATTCTTCTCTGAATTGCTGCTTCCTCTTCATTCTGGAGCTCCCGGGGTGATTCAGGTTTAAGGGACTCAAGGATAATATGGGGAAGTGAGAGCTACAGGCAGGGTTTCCATTCCTTATTGTCTCTTTCACAGAGCACCTGCCAAAGCCCAAAGTCATCCTAGGTCTGCAGAGCAGTAAGAATGGCAGCTGCACAACCAACCTGACGTGCTTTATGGAACACAAAGGAGAGGATGTTACTTACAGCTGGAAGGTCCTGGGGGAAGCAGCCAACGAGACCTATGATGACTCCATCCTCCCTGTCTCCTGGAGACTGGGGGATAAGGACATGACTTTCATCTGCATAGCCAGGAACCCCATCAGCAGCAACTTCTCAAGCCCCATCCTTGTCAGGAAGCTCTGTGAAGGTGACTGCCTCTCCGCTCTCTTCAGGAGCCTCTGGCCCCAGGACCTTCTTCAGTTCCTGGTCCCCATGGAAACAGCCCCTGTGTGAAAACGAGGCTACTCTGGGAAGGCAGGAAGCTGGGAGGAAAGTGGAAAAGTTGGGTTATTTTCTCAAGCTGACTTCTTTCCCTTTGCCTCCACCTGTTCTTTCCTTAAAGGTGACCCAGATTCCTCCATGGTCCTCCTGTGTTCCCTGATGATGCTCATGCTGCTCATTGTCCTTGTACTGGGGCTAGTTCTTTTGAGTATGCGGAAAGAGAGAATAGGTAAAACCAGTTTTGTCCTTACCCTCATTCATGCATTTTCTTCCCCATTGACACAACAAACATTTATGGAGCTGTGTGCCAAGCTTGGTACTGGTGCCAAAGATAGAGATGAAGAGGTCACAGTCTCTGCTCTCAGGAAGCACACAGGAAGCTCGCTCTCCTTTGCTCTGAGTAGAGAGAGTGCTGCTGTCCCTACCTTCTCTCCTGAGGGCACAGTCCTCCCAGTTTCTTTCCAGAGTGAACCCCTCTCCTTTCCCCAGAGGGACTTACTTCCTGCAACACAGTTCTGGCACTGCTGACTCTGTTCCTCAGGCTAGACACATTCCTCTGGGGGAAGCATTCCCTGTCTCTCTTCAGTTGCACCCCATGATCTGTGTCCTTAAACCCTGCTGATATGTCTCCTTGGGCTCCCATTGACACGGTCCATATGGGGTATTGGGAAGGACCTAAGCATTCTTTGTAGACTTTGAGATCTCCCTTCCCCTGTGGAAGTCCTCTGAAAACATTTCTGACCTTTCTGCTTCCCACTTTGACCACCTTTATCTAGAGATGGAGAAGTGAAGTAATAAGGATCACAGATCCATCCTGGTTTGTCTGGAATTTTCCCAGTTTTGGTGTTGAAAATCTGTCCTGGATAATCTTCAGTTACAGAAAAACTGGGATGGTTGGTTACTCTGAGTTCAGAAGGGATGATGGGCCAGTGAGTGTGGTGAGTGATAGGAGAGATAGGCTTTGATTCTCTACCAACTTGGTTTTAGAGTTCATTAAGGAAAAGAAGAGGATGGACATTGATCAGGAAATTCCCAACTTCTGTCCTAATTCTGGAGAGACCACAGAGTATGACACAATCCCTTGTGCTGAGGTGAGTATTTTACCATCTTTCCTGGAAACTGCTCCTTTCTCTGAAACACTGTTTTTTTACTTGATATTTTTCCATGGCATGATAGGAATGGGGAGGGGTGTGAGGATAAAACCCAGTGCATCTGTATCTCCCTCAAGTCTTCATGGATTCTCTTTGCAGAATTTGGTGGCCTCCAGGCATCTGATTCTGACCCAACCAGTAGTGTTCTTGCTATGGTTTATGGGCTGACCCCTTCCCTCTACAGTTCATGATGGTCATAAAGCAGTAGGTGAAAGAATGTGACTTGGACATGATATTGAGTCATGGTGTCAGAAGACTGGTTGCTCTGGAGGTGACTTTTCTCTCTGAGGTGAATCTAAGGAGCTCTCAGGTGAAGGCTCAGAGAGCCTGTGATGGCTCTGGCCCTATGCCCAAGACTTCCCAAGTGTGGGTCACATAGCTGAAGTAAATGGATACAACTGTAATTCAGAGGAAACCCTCTGGAAAGAAAATCTTAAGAATAACGTCTAAAGAAACCTAATGACAAAAGCCAATTTGGAGATGTGAGAGAAGTAGAGGACTCCAAAAGGCTCCCCCCTCCAAGACAAATCACTGCGGCCCAGGCCTGGCTCCTTGTTAGTGCTCCTGGGCCCTATTCCACAGTGGCCCATTTAATCATTTAATGAAGAAATAAAAATACTTGGGAGCCTCAAACCCCCAGTTTTATAATGGTCTTTTTTTTTTTTAATCAAGTGATCAGCAATGAGTATTCTCTTCATTTCAGGTCAGTCCTGAAAGATAATTGTCATCATCTCACCACGGTCTTTTATGTCTATTGATCAGGTTGCACCTTCCTACACCTACCTACAACATTTACCTACATTTCCCCCTTTGAAGAGCAGACATTACTTTTCCTTTCTAAAATCATTAATATCTGAGGGCTTCTTCCTTCCCCACAGGAGAGACTGCTTTGTGCTCTACTCAGCTGGTTGAAGTAAACATCTATCACTTTATCACTATCCTTTCTCTTCTCCTGCTTAGGACACACCCCTAGGAGGCTATAGGACTGCCTTGGATGTTCAGGAATAAACTTAACCAACCTAGAATGCTTTTCTCCAGTTGGGAAGGAGATTTTGTTCTTGTTGCTATTGTTTTTGTTTTGTTGTGTTCCATGAGTTGTCCTTACAGATTTTCTCCAAGGGTCATTTGTTGGGACAGTTTATTTACACCATTAGCAATATTATTCCAAACTATGCTTTAACCACCTTAAGAAGCTCATAGCTCATACCAGACTGATATAACTTATATATTTTTGAGATTCATTTAAACACAGCATGGTTTAAGTGTAAAGTGGCAGCTTCTTGAAAAAATTATCAATACTTACAATTATAGACGTCACCAACAAAAAGACTTGCACTACCCATCTCTGCTTTCCTGTCTTGGAATTGTGAATATCTCTCTGGTCTCGTCTATGTGACTCAGGAGATGGGTGGTAATGTCTTTTGTTTTTTGTTTCTTTTTTTAATAGAAATCTATTCCAAAGGAAGACCTAGCGAATACACTTTATTCCACTGTGCAGATACCAAAAAAGGTAAAAAAGCTTTAGAGCTGATTTTCATCTTAATCGTTCCATCTCTTTCCTTGGTTCATGTTTAGGTTGCAATTTCTTGTGTCCTGAGGATCTCATATTGTCTGGTATTCAAAGGTACCCCAAGAATTCCCTATTTTCTTTGCTTAGGGTTATACCAGAATATAGGGAATAGAAGAGAATTGTCTTTTAGGAGTTAGATACAGATAATTTGAAACAGAATAGACAGATGTTCAAGATAGAACTGACAGAAAAAATCAAAAGGCTTCTGACTGAGGTCATAGAGAAGCCATGGCCCAGGCTGTCTTAGGATGAAGAGAGGGAGCTGGGGAGGGGACTCCAGCTTGCTCTTGAGCCACCAGTGAACTAGAAGAGGGAGAGACTACCACCTTTTCTCTTGCTCTAGTATGTTATATCTGGTTTACATCCTCCTCTCACTTAAACTACTTCTGTCAAGGCTTATTCCTTAACACTTCACATTTGGCAGAGGAGACGGTATATTTCTGTCTCTTTTCCCTCCTTCTTCCAAGGATTTAAAAAATGGGGAATGCTAAAGCCATTTGCTTAGTGACAGAAAAGGTTAGTTCTGATGAATTATCACAAAGAAGGTTCAGTTCATTAAGCATTCAGGATGGTAAATACAGGTTAAACTTAAAGAATAGTTTTTCTATGCCGGGAATGATTAGGAGCCAGAATGGAAGGAGGTTTGGTTTGGGTAACCCTGGAAACAAGGAATGTCTGGGTGGCAGGGTCTCCATGAAAGACCCAGAGCCCCACCTGCTCCAGTGCATGCTGTTTCCTTATTCTGCCTACAGATGGAGGAGCCTTACGCACTGACCACCACACCAGACACATCCAAGACGTTCAGCTATGAGAATGTCATCTAAACAGCAGTGTACTATCTCAAGTATTAGCCCAAAGAACACAATCAAAAGGACTCACTAATTTGATCAGAAGAGTCAAGGAAGAATGATGAATATTGTTTTCCTTATACTACAAAGCATAAACAGCTCGGCGCCTGTGGCTCAAGAGGCTAAGGCACCAGCCACATACACCTAAGGTGGCGGGTTCGAATCC